TGCTCCGAAACGCTTACACCATGAAATCGAGGTAAGAAAGGGAGAATAACTCCACTTCCCCACATCACTTGCCAAGAGGTGAGGTGGCGCCTAATTTGGCAAATCCGCGAACAACGTACAGTACTCACGGCAACGGTTAACAAAAGCGGCAACTGATAAATTTTTATTTTCGATTATTAACACAACCTTCTTCATTTGCCACAGCATCATCTTGGGGTGGCTGACATGTGTGCAACTGTGTAGAGTTAAATGCGGCTAGTGAAGCAATCTAACTGCCATTTTTACCTAAGCAGGGAAGTGAGAAGAGGAAGTTAAGGTAAGGGAGGAGTGTGGAGAAAGGAAATGGCAGAAGGGCTATGGCGTATGCTCGCTTCGTGTGCACACTTTACCCACTGCTCCCTGACTATTTCTGGCAAAATCTTGGAATCGGCTGTCGTATGCAATGCTAGCTGACATTGTGCAGCGGGTCGTGGTGTACCGTTTTTGCATCGTATAACTGCCTATTACACATGGACGCTTATTAGCATATAAGTAGCATACACAAATGTTGATGTAGTAAATGGACTTCCTTGCGCTTTATTTATCCCTCTTGAATGACAAGACGAAGTTTCCTGGTCATCCTGACCAAGCAAGGGCTTGAAAGGATGGCCAATTTATGACGAATTCGTAGATTGAGAGCCTAATGGGGCGTCTCGGCTCCACCTTTCCACGTCTCTCTTTTCATCTGCTTGCATTTTCCTCCATTTTTTTACCCAGAAGCCCGCAAAATAATTCCCCATCTGGCCAACTTGAGTGAGTGCTGACTCAAATCATCCTGATGACAACAAACATCGTTACTTGAGCCTCAAATCGGACCGGGCGTGTAAATGAACTGTCTCCTCCTCGCCGTGCTGTCCAGGCACCCGGTTATTTGCATCAGTGACTGAGTGGCATCAAATGATTGGGTGACGCATGGGTGGCTGCTGAAATTCAGCAAAGGCTGTTGTGTTACTGAAGGCCGGTCCACATGCACCCTAAGCCATGTTTTGTAGACTAAGGTGAGGGCAGAAGTTGTCGAGAGGAGCAGTTCCAGCAAGCCTTCAAGGGTACTGGCTAAGCAGAGGTGATATATCTAAATGCATCCAAAACCTCACACGTCTTCAACATATTTGTCACTCTATTGGGAGGAGACGGTCCTTGTGCTACTTCCACTGTTTCAGAAAAGAAATTTGCTTTTGTCATATTTTGTGGCAATCTGCACACCTACACAGACTTCCTCCTATCCAAGAGACACATGCCTCAGTCAGAACTTGCTTCTGTATAGTGCCCACCTGTTCACTCAAATACGACGTCACACGTACGTGACATGCATCAGCTGCCACGACTTGCTTGCACCAGGTCATGCAGCATGCGGAGGGCTCGGGTGTAAAGCAATGCAGTAGACGTAACAAAGTTGTCACGGTGCTTGTTAAAATCGGCCAAAGGCACGTGGTTTGGCGTGACGACGAGGTGGGCTGTGTGGTGGTTAGCTACTATATTTCCCCTCCTCTTCTTATTTCACCACGGCGTGGACGTATTTTGACGGCTTGAGGCTTAGTTGTTTGATAGATTTGAGCGTGTCCAACGTCTGACTAGATCCGCGAGGTCGTCGCTTCCACCAGCGCACGCTTCCTACAGACCCGTTTCCCCTTCCTAACGTATTCCCCTTTTACATATTTTGAAAAGCTCTTTTTTGCAACACCAGAGCATTCAAAAGTCTAAATTTATTCTTCATTTTCTCTTCAAAAATGTCAGCTATTTTATCGTCCTTCTATTTTTTTAATTATGCGTTTTGAAAAATGGCAGCATGACAGTTGGTCAACTTTTATTTCTATACTTTGGGAAAAAAAACACTTTCAAAACTTCATCAACAGAAATATCATTTGCTGCAGTTTAACGTAGATAACTTTTGGAGGCTTGTTTTGCTGAGGAGATGTTTACTTACCAACGTTTTTGCCAGCATACGAATTTTTGCATAAAAGAGTTTTGGACACAGCAATTCGCAGTCTACAACCACCATCTGAATTAAAAAACTTTGCAGAAGTGGAAGCTACTAAAAATACAAAATATTCTGGTGTGTTTTTGCATTGCACGTGAGATCTTGCAAATTCTGATAGGAGCATTATTTTCAAAAACACTAAAAATGGGGGGAAAAACGGGACAGAATCTATTTTTTACATAAGTTAGAGAGTGGTGTTTCAAAAGCAGGCACGAAAATTGGGCTGATTATTTCTCCACATTGTGAATCCATCATAAATTAATTGAATTTGACAAGCCGTGTTGGCAACAAAAAACGATCCAAAAAGCATAAAAATTGCAAACAATTGGGCAAAAAATGATGTGAAAGTAGAAATATGTGGAAACAAACATCGTCGGTTGGGCGTCAATTGTGTTCGGCACTTTTAGACCGTCACCGCAAGCCCGCAAAGGCACCACCGCCAGCGTTGAGTCAAGGGGAACACTGGTGACAATTCCAAAAGTGCCAATCAACATTTTGAGCCAGAATCAAACCCCCCGCCTTTCACATTGCCCAGCTCAGATGCGAGGCCTCAGGATCTACGGCCACTGCAAAGCCATAAAACGTGGCCGACCAGCCAAACGGCCAACCCACTCAGTCAGTTAGCAGCCAGCCAGCTTAGTTGGCCAAACCAGTCGGTCGGACGGCCAGCCAGCCAAGCGGCCAACTGTGACCAATCGATTTTGTCACGTGACCTCCTCTCGCTGGCTCTGCATTTACTCCTGCAAACGCATTTTGCCTCCACCGACCTTCAAGCCACGCGCTGATTAGCCCTGTGAGAAGGCATGGCAACCAATCACCGTGTGCCCGAGGCGCTCTCCTATTGGCTGGGCTTGGGAACAGGCACTTTTGCCCATTTCTGTGGTGCAATGGTGCGGTCTGCGGTGCGACAACAGGGTTGGTAGGGGTTTCAGTGGGGAAAGGGAGAGGAGAGGCGAGGAAGGCAATCTCGTTTAAACGATGGGAAAAAGCCGTCTGACCATGTAAAGTCACTCCAGCTGTGGGCAATTTAACAGGCAAAGGGGGAGAGCTGGGTGGTGCATACTGTATGGCATACACTAAAGCGATGGCAGTCTTGGTAAGTAGGCTAACTTTTTATGCCAAAATTGCCCGTTACGACTGTTTCACTTCTTTAAAATACGCCCAAATCAGGAGGGGAGCTGAGAAGCATAGACAGGTGCCGGTTTTTTCGTGCGATGCTTCCCAAAACAAACTCTACTCTGTCGGTTAAATCACATGTGATTGGAGATTGGATGGATTTGCGGATTTACACTTAATTCCATAGTTGTATGCCTTTGCCTAAAGCATTTGGAGTTGGCGTGTTTGGAGAATGTGGCGTAATTTTGACGTGTCGCATTTGGTTTGAAGCAAGAGGGGCTCAACTAGTGGAGTGTAGCCTCCGCCTGTGTGTTGATGCAAAGACTACTTCGCGTCTACTTCACTGAAGGGGAGAAAGTCTTGCTTGAAACTAGGCAGGAGGAGAAAGAAAAGAAGGAGGTAGGTGGTGCCTCTTTTACATCTCCAACCTCCGTATCCACTGGCATCACCGTTTTATGGTAGCCAAAACAAATGCCATTTCCAAGTGTGAAAATAGGGAAGAGAGGAAGCCTTTTTATGTTTCACCCACTTATAGAACGAAAGATTTCCTTGGTTTTTCGGGGCGAAAATCTATGAGTCGCCATTGATACAAACATTGCATTCGAGGAGGGCAAAGAACTCACATAGGTATTTTGGAAGTCACAGCGTGCGGTGTTTTTGAAGAAGTTCGGTGTATAGAAGGACTGTGGGCATTGATTGATGTCGAGCTGGTGCAAATCCACCGATACAGTCACCACTCCCCTTCACCGAAAAGACAAAAGCTATATCAGTGAATGTCAAATTCTTGGTATTTTCCCCCTTTCAATAAAAAAAATTTGGAGAGGTGATATCGAAAAACCTGTTCAGTTCTTAGATGAAAGCGCACCTCACAGGTGGGGTGGTCTAATATTAACGAATATCTAAGACAACTATCAGATGGTAGTGGCCAGACGGATGCTTAACGCGTCACTGAAAATGAGGGATGCAAAAAATGCCTCATGGCTACCGTAAGGGACAAAAAAGGGACCCATTTACTACCGCTGTGATGGTGAAATCTCAAGTAAGCTGACACCATCCGGATTCTCTTCTCCACTAAGGTCCCCGAATATCGCCTTAGAGCTTCACCGAGAAAATGAGGAGTCTTTTTACTGATAATTTATAAGTAGATAGTTTTGAGTAAGCTCACATGAAATCCAGAGTTCTGCGATTGTCAAGATAGCCGAAAAACGGTGTAGCGTAGGTAATGACCCAGCCATTGAAGAATCCATCACAAACGTAGTATGGCTCTGTCCAGTAACCCTCTTCGTAACGTGGAACACGGTAGAAGAGAGGAAAATTGAAGTAGCGTTGAATCTGCGTCCCATTAATGTTGCTGCGAATGTAGGGCTTTGTGGTAATGCTTTCTAGGCCTTGACGACTGGACTCCCAGCGTTCCTATGGTAACAGAAATATGTAGGATTATTTTAGAAAGGATTTACAAGTACCTCTGTAAGACGTATTCTAGGACTAGAAGGGTAGTGGTACCAGAGGGGTGTAGACTCTATGGGTACCATAGTTCGGACGTGTAGAGCCAACTAAATCGGTTATTTAGATTACTACTTCTGAATCAACTGCTTCAGAATCAGAAATTTCCCTCCAGGTTAAGTACTGACGGTAGTGGAGATAAATTAGAGCTCTAGACAAACATCTAGCGCCAAGGCATTCGGTTTCGCTATTCCTTATGTGCAATTTACTCGTCAGGATGTGGCTAATTTTATCCCTGGTGGATGAATCGCACTAAATTAACTGACTAATCAGTGTGTCAAAGAGGAGTAGACACTTGACTCCGTCAGATGCGATCAATTATCAATCCTCCTCTCATCTTCGACTTTCCTAACAAAATAATAAAGAAAGGTATCTTGTCCTGTTGGGGGGAAGCACTCATAGGCCTGAAGGGGAAAAACTGCCATCCGTGAAAAGAAACCAATCTACGTACCTTAAGCACCCGAAACCACGCCTGTTCGGTGTAGTTTCGGTGGTCACGAGCACTCATGTCAATGGCTTCGGCCACTTGTGTAGCCATGCTGGGCTTGTAGGCGAAAGGAGCAAAGAGATCCCACGTGATTCCCTCGTGGTCGACAAAAGCTTGACGGTCAAAAAAGATGCCCGAAGAGACGATTTGAAAGCTTGACAGAACGTTCGCGTACACCTCTCCAAACAGCTCGAACCGGTTGAGTGGAACACCCGACTACCGAAATAAAAACATTTCTACTTGTAAGTGCTTCAAATTAGATTTTCTCGATCCCTGCATGCAGTAACACAGTTTATTGAGAGAATATTAGAGCCATATTTACAAAAAAACCTACTCTCAGATTACCGTAGAGCTCCCCCACAATGTTGTTTTGGTAGTAGGCGGAGAGAAAGTGCGCCAGCCGCAGAGCCACGCGTCCCTCCATTTCAAATTGTGCTTCAGCGCCGTAGCTGACACCTGAAGGCATCTGCAATTCAGCCGGACTCTTTGAGGCACAATTTTCCGGGGTCACGGTGTCTATGTAGGCGATTAGCCGAATGACCTTTGTGTGACACAAAAAATTATTAAAAAGTCGTATCCACTAATATGTAATTTAGATAAAAAATATTTCATTGATTTGGTTGACGGATTTGAAGCAATTTTGTGTGGTGTAATCAAACATTGACCCTTGCTCAACTTACTTCATTGTAGGCTTCCTCATTAAACGTGTAGCCATTGCCAAGGTAGTAGAATGGGATGTCCACATCCCTGCGCTTCCTCTTCACTACGACTGCGAGTCCACCACTTGCGGCGCGATGGCTCCAATTCCTTGTGCGGCGGGCTAATGAACGGCTTCTGTTCACTCCCTGATACATTGACTTAATCTCAAGGGATGGCTCCACTGGCCTTGCATCATGATGGCCAGCAGTATCATCAACTTTGTGGAAGATGTCATCCAGTGGGGACATTTTTTTGGCGTTTAGAAATCCAAATTTGTTCAAAAACCTTGTCATTTCTGTGATGGAGAAAAATGCAAAATTAATCTACCAGCGAGAATTCAGTAGCATGCACATTTTGAAAGGCCTTTCTTACGCAAAGATAAATAATTTGTCGGCAATGTCACAAACTCAAGCGGTGTTGAGTACCATGGTGATCTTCGAGGTCGCTGGACAGGAATCTGGTCTCCTCCTGCACTTTGAAGACGGTCTTTTGCAATTTCGTGGGGAACTACCTGTCTCCAGCCAACAGGGAGGCAGTCAAAACCGTTTTTATATTCCTCTTCCGTTGCCTGTTCTATATCAATGCCCCTGAAGGGGCCATTCTGTTGCATTGGGAGACGATAGCCCGGCTGACAGACACACTCATAGCCGCCGCGAGCAAATCCGTAGCCAGAAAGAGGAACACACTAAAAAGGTGATTGTTAGTAAAGACTTTATGCTTAGCGAGTAAGGACGGTAGAAATTTACCATTGTGCTGGGTTTGCAGCGAGCTGTTCCGGCCAAGAAATAGTCGGGATTTCCCATACTTTGCGGACAGGGATTGAAGTCAATGCGAAGGAAATCCATGCTGGTCACTGTTACACCCACCATTCTAAAATAAAGCATTGGAAGAATTGATAAAGACCATTACGACATTTTACTAAATCGGAAGACTCTATTTTCAAGGGGCGTCGAGTCTAGGATGTGAGCAGGCGCACCTTACAAATGTTGGTAATCAAATGTTTCCCATCCCAGTACGGTTTAATGCGGTTTCAAAGAGGAGTTGGAAATTAGTCAGCGAATTTGGACTAAGTAAGACATGACTCTGATTGATAAAGAGAAAATTTAGAAGGCTTCCACGCTCAAATAAAATCGACAAATTTCGAGTTTCACAAGATAAATGCCAATGATGTGAGATGAACTTAAAACTAAAAATTTGTAAGCACGAAAATACTCTTGGCTGAAAAATTAATACAAGTGATACAAGTAACTAATTTGAATATTTTTCGGCATTTTTCATTAGGCTACCACCTCCACCCACCCACCTGGGTCCCCGCAAACGGTCGATCGGTGAGTAGCGGGGCATGTAGTCCGACAGGGCAGAGACCGCACTCACAATCCACCGATTGCTATGACCGCAGTCGTAGTAGGGTCGAGTGAACCTAACTGGAAGGAAGGTCTCCTTAATACCCGGAGCGTTGGGCCCAAAAAAATTAAAAGCCTCCAACATCTCCACCAGGTTGCCATAGAGGTCAGCGAGGCGGGTTCGTGTAGCGTATTGATTTTTCCCAATTGCGGTGCCTCGATTGTCTGGAATGAAGTTAATACCCATTTCGGTGTCGTGGATGAAGAAGTTGTTGCGATACCACGGCGCCGTGTAATTGCTGTACGGACCTGCCCCCATGTCAGTCGACTTCAAAAAGAAATGCTACCTTTTAATTATAAGTAGGCGTACACAACCAACTTGTGCAGAATTTGTTTAGTAGTGGTTAGTCTACAAATAAAAAAATTATTCCGAAAACTCAATTTAATCACTTTCCGGTTCAGAATGGGAAAATAATCTAGCTTCCCTACTTCATTTTACTCCACAATTGATGCATTGTTTTAACCTTTTCCGCTACAAATTTCTTAATCCAATGCAATGGTTTATATCTGGACATAAGAAATAGTGGCAAAACCCTGAAAAAGAGAAGATCTTGCATATTATCTTACAACTTTTACACCGCCTTCGCCATCAAGACATGAGGGACAGGAGCCCCTCCGGATCATATCTGTCTTTTGGCTCCTCTTTCCCCTATTTTTACTTCGGACACCAGGAAGTGGAAAACAGAGACTGTGTCGTTGATGCCTGCAGTTATCCCAATGCAATAATGAAGGCCACGAAAGTTTGTTTTCCAAAGGTAATATTTAAGCCCGCCATGGAACCTTGGAGTCCATAAATAATTTCAAACTAGCCAAATTTAAAAAGTCGTGTCAAGGTTGTCGTGATACCCAAGTCGTAAGTTGACACCCGTTGAAGTCAGCCAATGCTTACATTATATCAGGACGGTGCCACTGTAAACAACTCTTAACCATACGCATTGGCCCTTGTATGCAAATACACACAACCCGTGGTAGGCTCCCTTTTTGGTTGTATCACTGCACCTTATTTGGTGGGTTGCCGATTGTTTTTCGAGACGACATGTTTAGCGGATGTTTAAGTGACCTCAAACAGGCACTAAACAGTCAACCAAGGTAGCGGCAACTTCTGGATTCATCCTTTTCATAAAATTATTAGGTGTAGCTGGTTTGCGACTGCCTACTGCCAAATAAAGCCAATATGAAACACTCAACGTTTTCCATTTAGGCAATTGACAGCGGTTTTACTTAAATATCACAGAAGTAGTGTCTTACCTCAATTGTATTATTTGTCGGTATCCTTAGAAAATTTGTCTCATCATTCCAATCATCCAGTCTCCTCGTAACCGGTGCAAATAATGGGAAAGTTGTATTCACACTGTCCGACACATACCTGTAACATCAGAACCTTATCAGAGGGTGCCATCTCTGTAATTTGGCAACAACAACTCTATATTGCTAACAAACTCTACTACATCTTTAGAGATAATTCGGGGTGCTGTGGTGGTAGAAGTGGTAAATATACACAAAGAAGGCCTTAGGTCGCTCAGTCATGCAGGCCAAATTCGGAGGAAATAAGGACAGATTCCACTTTAGTTAAGAATCTCTGCTAGATGACATGAGAAATTCACTTGTTTTTAAGTATCTTCTTGCCTTAAACCAGCAGGAAAATCACAAAAGGCCATTATTAGGGTTTACGTGGTTGACTACACCGCAAATTTGCCATGATCCGTGTTAGACATTAGTGCATGTGGGCACAAATGCCTTCTCACACTCTACGGGACATTAGAATATATTATTCTTTTTTGGTTTTGGAGTAGATTTTAGAAGCATAAAATACGCTGTGGCGTCTGAAGTGGAAGAGTGGTCATAATAAATATGGCGAAAAATTGGAACGCGCTACAATATGTTTGGTAATGGAACCGAGTTCTATATACCAGCTAGCATATGAGCAATTCGTGTCCATATAAATTCCACTGGTGTTGACAGCATTCGGTGCCGAAGAGATGTCAGCAGCTCCCGAGAAGTAGTAATAAATGTGGGATGGCAGCAAGGCGGGTCCAGTTCGTGTGTCATTTAAACGTTGGAGTATGTAGGAGAAGAAGAAGGCGCGATTAAGAGCAAGGTTGTGTAGGTGCAACAGCTTCGAACGGTTGGCATACCACACCTGAAGAGGAATTTGGTTGTACTTGGGCATTTGGCTGATGGTGGTGGTGGGGAGGGTGAGATCAGCCTCGGACAGATATTTGCAGTTGTTAGGGTTAGCACGACTCATCTTCTCCATAATAAGGTCAAAGTTATCGCGAGGGTACCAACTGTAGGGACTGAGTGCGGTGGTGTGGTGTAAGACGGGGAGTAGGACGGTAAGAAGGCTGACGATGATGACGACCAGGAAAGTAAGAGCATCTTCTTTGTGAGATTTGGAAATTTTCATCCTTTAGGGAAATAAAACAAATTAGGATGGGTTTTTCCTACCATGTATATAGCGAGTTTTATTGACTTAAATGTAGAATAAAGCAACATGTATTAAAACCAACCGCAAGCACTATATGGTTTTACATAAAATATTGAAAATTTACCGTTTAAAAAATTGATTATTAAGGGAAACATTAACTTTTAAGCTATTTTAGGCTGTGATTACATTTGATTCGGAAAATCAAAAAACAAATAAAGTGCAGCCGACAAGTTCGAATTGTGGCAAAAGATAGGTCACATTTAAGCATAAAGTAGCTGTGCATAATAACAACAGCTCATCAAAATAGATTACGATACCTGATTATTTATAGAGACTACAGGCTGTGAGTCATTCTATAACAGTTTAGAGATATTTTGCGCTCAGTGTTTACTAATATGATCTCATATAGCCATATAAAATGAGCCCAAATTGTTACCATATTTACTGCAAATGAGGTTAATTTTGAAATTCAAAAAACAGGTTGGGTAATCTATCTTTTGCCAAGGTGATTCATTTGTTTCCCTTATTCAATCTCCTATTTTTGACTCCGTCCTTGATGGCTCTCCTACTTTATCATATGTCAGCCCTTACAACAACCACGTATAAACAAAAGATGTCGTGCCCAAAATTTTCTTGACTTTGAGTAGATAGGTGATTTTAATGTCACCAGTGCAACTGAAAAATTGGTTTTCGCCCCTTTAAGAGAAGTAACGAAATAGTAGGGAAAAACGCATTGACTTTCCGGTGCTTAATACCGAATAGGGTCCTACAACCAAACCAGCTCATATTTTAGTAGCTAATTGCAGGAAAAGTAGACCAGAAGCAAAGCTTTTTAATAAAGAAACAAGGCATTTTTGCACCTATTTCTTCTCGTTATTTTTTACTCCCCAATGCCGTGAGGACCTCAGTTTTCTAGCAGAAAAGCACAGGAGACTTCATCTGTTAAGGTACCGTAGACAGTTGCAAAACAGATCCTTTGGAATGGTCATCTTTGGTATCGCTTCGGTGATTAACGGCCCTCTTGCAGGTCACCGATTGCGGTGGACACTATTTTGAACACTTTCTCTTAAGCGTCTTCCCCGATTTGTTCATCCACATCCGTTACTTTCCTTCGGCGACGTCAAAATTTGTATAACTATCCATAGAAATCGAGACATTTGCCTTTTTGGGTAGGGTTTCATTGTCACCACAACCAATACCTCACCTCCAGTGTTTTTTGAGGTTGTAATACGCCAATGTGGCAGAGTAGTGATACGACCCGCGCAGATCGGAACAGCCCGCAATTATTGACACGCAACTAAGCAGAGCCCCGAACCACTACACATACACCCATCAAATACCAACTCGCTGTGTGCTACTTCACACTAGTCATCAGCCAACACTTTGTCGACAAGATTTTCCGTTGTTGACGGTAGAATCCGAGATCACTTCTGTGGCACTCAAATCCATCGTCCAGACCTGTGCCCATTGGGGGGAGAGAGAGGCTCACCAATACTACCATTGTTGTGAAACCTCCACCACTTCTCCCCTTCAAAAGTCCTCGATGGAGAAGACTGATCTGATTGACGGTGCAGCCTCAGCTACCAGGTCCGTCGAACTCACTGGTGACTCGACGCAAGAAAACGCCCAGTAAGTGGAAAAGAACTCATCACTTCTTGGGTGGAATAATTATCGATGCATATGATCAGGGTAAACACATCACCACATCAAGTTGATAGAAAAAGGAAGGACATCTCACAACATCTGCCACACAACGAAAGACCGGCAGAATGACAAACGAATAAAGAGACAGGTAAGTAGATAGAATAAAAGAGGAGGGGAATAACCAATTTTCAGACAGGCACCTGTACACAATAAAAAGTCATCCTCCGCCCCCCCAACCCTCCCCCGCCCAAGTCTACAGGGTCACGGAGCGAATGAGAACATCAGCATGCAGCACATTCACCACTCCCGGTTCGGGCCATGTCAGCACGATCTCTGTGGGGTCCAAGGCGGCGGCTGTTGAGCTGCCTGGACGCTGAAGGGGTCGAATGGGGTAAGTATTCAACGCTCGCACCTGTTGGCTACCAATTCCAAAAAGACCGGTCGAGAAGAGCTGTAAACCAGGTAGAAGGGGTGAATCATAATTTAGTAGATCCTCCAACGATGAACGATTCAAAGGGTGTGGAAGCACTCACCTGCCAGGTTTTGATAGTGTTTTCCTGCATTGAATAGGAGGCAAGTTGTCGACCCTCGGAGTTGAAACAGACGGCCGTGATTGGTGCGTTGTGGGCGCTTGTAGACTACAAAGAAATACGGAGAAGGCAGGAGCGGTGCACAGCCCTGAGAGGGGAGACAACTCGCCAGGAAACGAAGTGGAGCACTTACGTTATATCTGCCGCTCTTGAAGTCGAAGAAAATGAGCATTCCGTTGGTGCCACCGACACAGACCTTCTGAGCTCTAGTGTGGCTGTCCACTGAGTGGAATCTGGAGGAAAAATTTTAGGCTTCATCAATAGGTTCCAAGTGAAAAAACGCTCAAGATTGGCCGATTACTTCCAGCCAATCAAATGACCCTCCTGGCCCATCTGGACAGGGTAGCGTCTTTGAAGCTAACAGAAACACGCCTCGCGCAGAGCAGCCGACATACAACAATGCAACCCTCCAACAGCGGATGTGTTGTGGGGAAAAAATTTGCGAGTTATCGCTGATATGGAGAAGTCGCCCACCGTAACCCGAATCCATCGCATCATTTTCGTCTCTGCCCCAAGGGGGAGTCGTTCAAACCCCTTTACCAACTTCCATCGTTTTCGGTGTTGGGATTATCAGCACAAAAGTGGGCCAAGACAACTGGCAGTCCCGGAGATGACACTGCAGCCTCCACACCAGCTGGATGGATGGCTATGACCTCGCATTCCATCCTACCAACCTTACAACATCAGAAATCATTCCAATGTTGTGTGGATGACACAATCATCATCCAATTGCAATCTGATAATAGTTTTCACGTCAGAGATGGAAGATGTGCGTGGTTTTACACCATGAACAGCCTAAATTCGACCAAGGACCGCCAAAATCACACCACTTGTGAGGTCTACCAAACGTCAAACCTCTATCAACATCAAAACGAGATTCGAAACAACCAGGACTAATTTCCAGTACAAAAAATGCTACTGAATTAAAACCGTACCGTTGAAGGATAGGAAAGACAGCATGGAGGCCCCTCTCCCTCAGTCGGGTCCGGTCAACGCACACTAACACAACTTCCACCAATTCAGGTAAAATGGGAGTCATCTCGACACCGCGACGACTGCTCAGCTCTGTGAGCACGCGCAACACCTCCACTGCGGCCTTTAGCAGCGGCAGCGGCTGACCAGTTCCTGCAGCCTGATTGGTTGGTTGGGAAGGATTTCTGACGCTTTTATCTGAAATCAAAGAAGAAAATATTTCATGCAAATCCGACCAATCCGGTCCGAAATAGGCCATTGACGATGTGATAAAAGTTATTCTTAATTGAGGTGAGCAATTTTGTGGGTTCAAAATGAGCGAACTCCTGATTGGCTGACTGATGGAGGTAGTTCAGTTATAAAGTATAAATTTTAAGGGAACGGTTTTACCCACAAAAAAATAACAATCTGATTCGGCACAATGGTTGCAAATCACGACTCCTTAAGAAAAAATCTTTAGCAATGAGCGCCTTCCACCCAACTCACTAAGATGCCTTGACAACTCTGAACCCGAGTTTACAGCGAAAATTGGAGACGCTAGTGCCGGAGACGACACCACCACCCGCAGTAGTCGCTGTGAGTTGCCACCAATCTCCGCCGAGGTATTGCCTGCGTCAACAGCAGTAGCGTTAGAAGTGAGCATCGCATTCAGAGTCTGTGGACCCAGTCGACGCAGCATGAGGGAGAGGGTGAGGATGACCAGGTGAGGTCGAGTGAAAGTCAAGCGCCACAACGCCTGACGGGAAGCGCGAGCCACGTCGCGTTGTCCATTGAACACCTCGCCTGGTTGAAGACTGGAAAGAGAAAGAATATGAAGGAAGTAGAAACACCCAAAACACCTTTCTAACCTAGCTGACATGAGCCTTCTGCTATAGAACGGACCGCAGAATCAGACTGGTGATAGATGGTACTGCTGCGATATGTTAGAACGAATTCGGAAATCAGCTTCCACACCGGATCTAGTCTGCTAGCCTTTCCGTAGGTAGAAAATCAAGCTCCTTCCATATTTCTACATCAGTAGAATATGACCAAGCACTTTTAGTCCCTTCAAAGAAACTGACAGCCTACGCTAGTTGCTATATAAGAAAGATATCTTCCGTGGAACGCTAAATCCGCGGTGTCTGGGAAGGTTGGGGCCGAATAAAGCGAAAATAAAGACAATTCAGATCAATGATTAAGTGGCCTTAAAATGGCGAGAAAGTGGAAAATAAGAACAGCTAGTGATGTTCGTATGAGGAAGAAAAAAAGAACGGATAGAGTAGGAAAGGCTTCTTCTGTGTATTGAAGCAGTGCCGAGGAAATAATTCTCCACAAAGCAGTCCACTAGTAGGAAGTGGCAAACAGAAGCAGTCAAACCGACTGCTGCTGCTGGGGGTGGAAATTGTTTCACCAGAATGGAAGGTCCTCGCAAGGTCTTCCTCCTTTCACTTCAGTTGGACTTCACTGGGCTGACCGAGGTAGAAAATTAGTCGCAACGCTGGGAAGGAAGCGGAGTATATGCAACAGAATCAGCCTATACGGTGGTGACATGAAGTTGTGAGGTGTTGATACAACGACAACTGTGATGTTACACGTAAGATCTTATGGCTTAGATCAATGACGCGGCCTGAGCACGGAATAGGGCAGCGAAACGATTCAAGCAGGAAATGCCGAAGGGAACGCAAAATTCACGCAAAAACGAACGTCCTTGGGAGGGGGGGGGGTTATCGAATACTACAGGCGAAGTGAATAGCACTGAATAGGCGCGGAAGTAATCACGGAATTCAAGAGCAAGTAGAGTTAGTTAGGTTTTCAATCATGTCTCCAGTGATGCCTCCAAGTTTCATTTCAAGAAGAGTCACTTGAAGAAATGTAAAAAGTGGTATCGGTCTATTATCATTGGCTAAAGTGCCTAGCATCTCGTGAACCGTGGTAGCGAAAGTATGAGGTCCTTCAAAACTTTCCGTCGACCGATTCGCCTGTTTTGACTGTTTCAAAGGTGTTTCTTCTTGCACAGATTCGAGGTCAAAGAAGGAAGAAGGTAGCAGAGAACACTTATCTTCATTTTATGATGTACTACGGAGAAAATTGTATGAAATTTTTAGACTATCGAATGCTACTGAATTTGAATAGGCAGTAAGAGCACTGACATACTCCGCCAGCTGGCCGACTTCGCTTGCGATTAGACTGAGTAAGGAGTTGAGGAGATGTGCTGTGTCCACGTAGGGCTCCCACAGTGGAAATCCCCGACCGAGGAAATCAATGGCAGTGCGACGGATGGGAGAGGCAACTTGGGCCAGCGCCTGTCGCTTGGTTCCGTCTGGGGGTGTGTAGTCTACAAGACAGACAGGATAAACAACCGAATAAATAATTGCTACCAAAAGGGAAGAGACAGATTACCCAGATTCCCTCACAAACAATGATGCAGTGGGGTAAGGTCAGAGATTGGCTCACCGAAATCGCAATAACTGAAGGAAATTCTAGCACAAGTCGAAGGCAGCTGCTGACAACGAGCACACACTAGTGCGCAAGACTGACCCAAATGAATTTAAGCGCACGATGAGATGTCACCCTACCAAGAAAGACCATGAGGGCGGAGGCAATGCGTCTAAACACCTCGTCCTCCATCACTGTAGTCGTGATCTTGACCTCAGGCGGGAGGGGATGATAGTAGGGCGAGAGGGAAGCCGCAGCAGAGGTTGGAGGATAATTCAGCTCCACGCAGAGGTCACGTGCTGCTAAGGCGGGACTCAAATGCTCCGAGACGACTCGTGTTGCTATGGCGGCAAGGATGAGGATCGCGCAGTTCTGAAAGGTGATACGTGAATCGGGCGAGTGAAAACGCAGACCTCTGATCATGTTAGATAGGCTACCAGTGTCACCTAATGAAAGCAGCTTCCAGACAGGTATATCTAATAGCATCCGCACAACCAAAATACCTTGAAATATTCCTTTGAAAGGCATATGTAAACAAAGGAATTGATAACAGGAGTCCCCTGCCTTAAAGAGGATTTAAGAAGATGGAAGAAGCATGGAAGCCTGAATCCTAAGTTCGATATCCTACATTGCTGTTTAATAAATAAGCAGACTCACCGCAACGCGATACCGATGCACCGACGATGCATTCAACGGTCGAGACGGTCCAAATGCAAATGAATCGAAAATCCCACTTTCCAACTTAATCGACATTTTTAGCAACTCCTGACTCTCGCAACAATCTAAAGCTGTTGGTGTGTCGGTTGATCCAGCCGCGTCAATGTGATTGGCAGCACTTCGGTGCGTTGGAGCGCCATTGACTATGCCGTTGGTTGTCGCATGGATGCTTTCTGGGAGATTTTTGACCTCGGGGAGGAAGCGAACCCATTGATTAACGAGATTGCGACGCTCCTCAGTTGAAAGTGAGTCCAGGAGGGAGTAGGTTAGTGTACGGGCGCTATAACGCATCTGTCACCGGAAAATATTCGACTTGGTACTTAAAAGCTACTCATATGAGTAAGCAAGCTAAGAATCCTGACTCACATGCAGGCACTTAGTCTGCCAGCGTGCCAGAAGGGTGTGCAACCTCATCTGATGGAGAATGTTGGAGGAGGAGGATGTAGAAGAGCAAATCGACCTTATTAAGAGGGAGTCGATGGGGATAGATGAAGGAAAAATTTCGGCTAATCGATCAGCCGGCATGCAACACAAGGCGTCCGCAAGAGCAACTTGAACGAGACGAAGATTTGTGACGACCTTCGTCGACAGGGAAGAATCATAATCTGTTTTATCAATTGCGTCTGGTGGACCTAATCCAAAATCATACAAAGATGCCTCTGATGCCTTTATAAGTGTTAAAAGCGGTATATTTAAAGAACATGAAGAATTTATGAACATTTTAGGATAGGCGTGGCAAATACTACAAAATTCTATATTAGTAGGAGCAAAGAGGCAAAAAATTAACTAACAAGGGATGCGTAGCGTAAGATAACCCGCCATAGAGAGGCACCCTAAATGCGGTTTTTGTGGGCGCTTGGCCAACTGCAAAGCCCCCAGAACTTGCACATCGTATTCAGCTGAAGGATCATCAGACCATGGATATATCACAGACAGTAGGAACTTCACGAGGCTTCCACAGTCTTGCAAACTCAACAGAATGTCATTTTCAGTACTCTCCATATCCTGCAAGAAAAAGGCGTTTGTGACAAAAACGATCTATATAAACCAATTCCACTAATAATTTATTGTAGGATTCATTTCAACTGCACCTTTGAAGATACAGCGGAGGAGAGGAGATTTGAAATGAGTGCTTCGGGGTCAAAATGAAAGACAAAGGCGGCGGGTCCCCCACAAGCATTGATTCCAACGCTTTGAAGGAGAAGTGGTGGCAGGAAGCGTGCTGATTGGTTAGTGACTGAATTTCGGCGCGTGATCCGTCCAGCCGCTGTGCGATGACTCACACTCGCTGCGGAAGCGCTCTGATTGGCTGGGCAGGTAAAAAACGAAGGGAGGGAGGGAAGAGGGCTGGAACCGATTGTAAAGGTCTCGGAGCCGGTGTTGAAAATCTCCACTGCGGTTGACCCCATCTCACAACTGAACCGAGAGGCGATTGAATAAACGGGGGTACAGAAAATTAATTTGCCAGTTTAGAAGCAAAACCCCTAACCTACCGTTCTAACTGCCCCGAACGAATATCCCAAACGGCCAATGAGCCGTCAGCTGCTAAAATCAGCAGCAGCATCTCAGCCAATCGCCAGCTGATGGCGTGGACGGTGGCGGGAGTGTTTGCATAACCCCCCGAGGCTGTACGAGCACGAATAAGCGTGTATTTATCGTTTGGGAAGAGGACGCTCACCGTGCCGTCATCAGCCACGACGATCACACAACCCTAATCGGAGCAGAAATGAGACAAATGGAATAGGAAAACGGTTACTCAAAGACAATCAATGAGACATTAGTATTAACTTTTGACGAAAAAATTGCCCAATTTGCATTAAGAGGGATGAAGCCGACCCAAAATAAAGCGCCTTCAAGCATTCCGTTTCTATCGGCCTTAGTTAAATTGAGTACTTCCAACTCACAGCAAGGGAGGAGGGCCTAGTCACAGGACCCACAAGTAGCGCTATGATCGGTGCAGCGTGGTTGTAAAACACCGCCAACGGATTTGTCTCTCCTTTCTCTTCATCTTCGAAAAGAATGGCTTCCAAATCCCACAGACGAACGGCAAAATCATCCCCACCAGACAGGAAGAGATTAGGACGAAAGGTGGTACTATCGAGAGCGAAGGAGAAGGGATGGAGGAGGGCGAGGACAGCTCCGTAGTGACCTCGAAATCGATGGGAGGAGGCTGGAGAAGTGATTATCAGATCACCCGTGGAGGTGCCACGAATGAGAAGGGGTGGAAGTGAGCGCCTTGGTGTTGCATCGGTGGCGTAAGTGGATGCGTAAACGATGATACAACTGGTGACAACATCGGTGGGAACAGAGGTGTGCTAGTGTGGGAAAGGAAAAACACCAGCTACTCAAAAGTCAGTTTATATAGATGGATGCACCTTATCGCTGAAAAGTGAACAAGTGGCTCTATTAGAAAATCGCCGTCAAATAAAACAATTCTAAGTGTATTTATAGAACACTCAATATTCCGGAGAGGGTTTGGGAATGAAATAACATTTTGAGGAGGAAAAAAAGCTTCAGTCATTAACCAAGAGTAACCCAAATACAACTGAATATCGTAATAACAAATCAAAGAACAGAAAAATTTCTTACCCAACGGAAAAAATAACATTTAAATTGGAGAAAAGGTGAGGTGAGAAAATGGAGTTCAAATAAAAGGAACCAAGCATAACTCACAGCCAAGGGAGTACCATCGGGGGTTCAGAATACATGAATCTATCCAGCAGGGATAAATTTCAATGATCACTTTAGAAATTAAAAGGTACTCATCAAGGGATACGTGTAAATTCACAAGCTTTGGACGCGAATTATTCGAATGGTAAGATGAAGTTGGCTAAAAACCCTTTTTTGATCGTAACGAGAAGACGCAAATAACTTTGTGAAAAAAACGAAATTAGCCATAAAGGATTAAAAAAAAGAATTGGACTACGGTGGTAAAAAATACAAGACCTCGAATTTGAACACTAACCAATCAGAATTGGCCTTAAACGTAGGACAAAGACAATCCACCTAACAAGTGCGATATTTCAAGAGTGCTCCAAAAAACAAACGGTTGTTCCTTGAAAGGGTAAATGCAAACTTTAAACTGGTGATAGCGAACTAAGGGAAAAATTAATTGGCAATGTGTTCGGCATTAACCAAGGTCATCAATCAGCCAACTATATTTCGCCGTGAAATACAGCAAAAAAAGGAATACAAATATGTGCAACATTAAGTAAAAGCGGTAAATTTGGAAGATGAAGCGGCATCTGGCAGCCAGTTAATCACAATTCATTATAAACCATCGTGAAAGATGATAAGGGCGAAATTCCAGTCCATAGATGAGTCGTCAGCCAATCACAAATTTCAATGTGCTCAAGCCAAGTGGCCGAATACAAACTGCATCTATATCTGGAATTTCGCCCCTTTTCTGATTGAAAATTTGCAAGGCAATAGACAGAAATAGAAGGCCCAAGCAAAACAAATAGAAATTCCAGCTTTTCATAATACAACGGTACTAAAGTAGTAAGCTTTGGTAAAATATTCCAGAATAAAACTGTTTCAAGGCCTACGAATGTACAGATTCCTCAGCTTGAGGTAAAATTGTAGCAAAAACAAAATCAACCATTAACCAATGAGAATGAGGCAAGAATCGGTCAACACACATTAATCATGTGTTAAGCTCTTGTTCTAATTCACATAAACTCCTGTGCTCTAACCAAAAAATGTTACATAAACCGCCGTTCGCGAAATGTGATCGAAGGGAATCTGAGACATAAAAGTAACCAAATAGTCTACTTGGAAAAAATGCCAGCACAACCAATAAGAGCCTGATTTTCCATCGAAAATTCGAAACCTCCCAATTGACAAACTCGTAATCCTGTATTTTTCACTTGAGAGAAGTATCACCTCATCGAGGAAAGCAAGTCGCAAGAACGCAACAAGATGGGGATCTAGAGATCACAAGTCACTGAAAACCACACTAGAAATAGAATACTTATAGCTAGTCAAATAAGAAATGAGAGTGTAAAATAAAAGTGGTGTAATTTACGTTGAAAAATGCAACTTCCGTCAACAGGTGTTTTGAGATCTTCTGCCAAACATCGGAAAGCCTTGTTCGCAGAAACGGGGGTATTTCCAAGAGCTTCTCACCTATAAAAAGCAAAGAATCCTAAAAAACACCACCATTTTCCGTGTTAGAGTTACCAAAGTCTCTTGTTAATAAGCCAAATTTAACTTATTTACATTACTCCAGGAAATTTCCAAAGGATTGACCAATCAGAGTAAGAAGTAGCCAGGTAACCAATAAACGTACAAATGCTAGGACAAACGACGAATGAAATACGAGCTTCAACCCCGTTGACCAATAAGCAGCACCTCCGAATATCACACGCCATCACACGCCAATATTAAACACCCTGCTACTTTGACATAAAAAGGGGAGAAAAACACCTGGCTCGACTAGTTGATCAGTTGTGAGGCCCCAAACACAGAGTGTCCCATCTGAACAACCACAGAGAAAGGCGTCGACCACCTTTTCGGGGGCTCCGAGGCGAAAGAGATTCGCTTTGCACATCTTCGTAACAGGAGTATGCTGAAATTGGTATCTAATGGAAAGTTTCAGTCGTGGAGCATCGTTCATCTATTGGAATCGAGGAAAAAAAGGTCTGATTTCCAGTGTCAGAAGACAGTGCGGAGCAGAAACAGTAACAACAACAACAACAACATACCCTCAGTTTTATGACTAGCTGCGGTTTCAGACTGGCCACTTGAAGGCCACTTCCTATCCTGAAAGCGGAGCTAAAACCGAAGAAATAATCCTATCAAATATCGCAAAAAAGCCCCCACTTCTTTACCAAAGTGAGCCATATTTCAGAGACCTACTTTTTTGGGAGATGATAAATACAAACTTCACCAACGTTTGTGTAGATTGCCAAGTATTCGCGATGGAAGAAACTGCCACCCACGTAGTGCTCCTTAGGATCACAACTGGCATGAAAAGTTTGTGTGGAACAGTCGATTGCATCCAAAATCTGCAAAAGTGGTTACAATTTCAGACAACAGCTCAACCAGTTAAAATGAAACAATTGGTCAACCAATAAAAAAATTTGCCCGTTCATACTGCGCTACTTGATTGGCTATGGATTGACCAATCATTTATTTAGGCCTTGTAGACCTTCAAGTGGTAAACTCACCCTCCACTCCTTCACGCAGATTAGTAGAACCAGACGAGGCAAATGTTCACAGCAATGAATTTGCAGAATAGGAGAATTAGTCGGAATTGTTCGCGACTCGTGTTCATAAGTTGTGGAATTCTTCGGAGAGGAAGAGAGGGAGAATACAAATTATGACTTGTCATTAAGAAGAATGAGGTTAAGAAAAGCTTACGAGCGTTTCTTTGCCTGTCAGTGTCCATACAATGACCACACCAGAATTGGAAACTCCTAAAACCACTTCTTCTGTAATAAAACAAAAAAAACTTTAGTGGAACTTAGCTAGATTTACTCAATACTTCAGTCATCCTAACTCTGTTAACATGCCGATAGCCTCTTTAGGAACAAACGACGGGTTGTTCTAGCGGCAATAACAAGGGAAATCAATTAAATTTCCTGAACTGGATGCCCCCAATGTTAGTAACTAAAGCAACAGCGGAAGAGCCATCGAAAGAGGGCGGAAAGTAGACACTCACCCCACATCAAGTTGGTAGCTGCGAGGCTTCCCTAAAACTTTGAATCATGAGTGCCAAGCGAGAGAGAGGCGCTGCTTATCTGCCCCCCTAGCCCCAAATTCCAAGGCTTCCCTCCCCCATTTTTCCTCCCGTCAGATTACGAGAAGCTGAGGATATAAGAAATAACAATGTGCCAGGGAGGAGCAATCCCTCCTAAAAGCTACCTTTTCTCAAATAGCTCTGTCTCGACGCAAATTTTCCTACAACTAGCGAGTTGGGTGAGAAATGCATTTGTTGTCATGTACTTTCTCCCTTGGACCAATGGGAAGGCAGAATTATAATCTCATGGCTGACAAGCGAATGGCAGACAATATGGGGACGATTTTATGGTTCTGGGTTACTTTGTCCACATCGGCTGTAACAATTTCACGCGTTTAGAAAAAGCTAGAGTAGTCACCTCTATGAAATAGACATGAAGCATTTGTTCCAATCAAGCACGCTCCTCCTCCTGAGTGTGCGGTAATTAGTGTTAGCAGGGTTGCGTGTTTACGTGCTACCGCCTCTCCCTTACAGGCTGTTATTTCAGCTGGACGTTCACTCTACAGTGAGTGGCCAGAGTGCCTAATTGCACAAGCTTCCTCCCTTCCTCGCCCCCTACCCTCACCATTTCTCTTAAATGGTTGGATGTGGTAGACAATCATCACAACAACTACGAGTAGATTGACTGATCAAATTAGGTTTTCTCATGTAGCGAGACCACCAGTTCTTCAGCAACGACTGTGCCCCATTATTTTGCAGTCACTTTTAACGCATCAGTTTAGGTGCTCCACATGGAATATGTCTTTTTTTCAGGATCGGGGTCGGCCCATCGACAAACTCACACTGCATTCATTTATGTTGTTTACAAATGTCTTGCAAGTTGGGAACCTCTAAGCTTACTGCTAACAACAGACACGTCAGCAGATGGATAGATGGTGGCTAGGCGCGTGGTGTCTATTCTCGCCTTGCCCCATTAAACACTGAGTTCATTGCTACTTCGAGCTGCCATGGTTCCTTCCCTGACAGAACATGTACACGAGCGAACGATTGTCCGGGTTGTACAAACAACCAACCGGGTAAAAGGATGCACGTATGAGGAAGAAAGGTGACGTGTGAAATGAAACAGTGGAGCCGAAGACCTTCAAGTGGAATCACATCACGAAAAGTCTGCATGGGAACATAAGGCTGATGTCACTCAGCTACAATGTGATGCAAGAACATATAAACATCACTATCAACGCAAACTCGCACACACACGCAGAGAGAGAAGGCAACCCTGACTAAAGTAGGCACTCTATCTCACTATCACTTCACAGACATTCACTGAAATCAGTAACTAGCACATTTTTAAAAAGATGAGGAAAATCCCGCCATTATCACTTCCAGGAAATGAGCTGAATTAGAGAATCTGCTGCATTCTCAAACAAAAAGAAGTGAAGAATAAATTGAGTAGATACCTTAGCACCCTTCAAGCCCGTAGAGTCCTCGATCAACAATAAACACATTCTTGAACATTTTTTGCCTGGTAACGCGCGAGCTAAATGGGAAAATCTGGCACCTCTCCACGGAATAAGGAAAGAGTTGAAGACACCTGCGAAGATGGTAACTCACGCTTGAGATGGGTGTGAGTGAAGAGGGCGAAGTCCTGGATCCAATTGGGATGGGCATTGGAGGCAAGAGTGAAGAGGTTGGAGAGCTGCAGTGCATGCATGACCACAATGCAGGGGTACTGCCCACTGCAGAAGAGTAGGTGCGCATCAGTGAAGCTTGGCTTGAAGGACTGGAAAAGGTAAGCGTAACAGTATGTAGCCTACCTTGATCCGCGTATGGTGATAGATCTGATCAACGCGAATATCCAGGCAGGTCCCGTCCTCCCAATTCCAGATTGCGAGCTCACTGAAGCATGACAAACTTGCTTAAGGAGTCTAAGGTCTTAGAGATTACATTGAGAGTTACAATGGTAATGGAAGGGATGGAAAAAAGCCTCTATATTAACCTGTTTTGGTATCTTAAATCTTCAAGCTGACTAGAGGACTCTAAATCTAAAAAGGAGATTAAGATGGAAAGATGTTCATGCCAACTTATTTGGATCACCATTACACCCGCTTTTTCCCAGCTGAAAAAGCGACTGGTTTATGAAACACCGTTGATCCACAAGCAATGACCCCATGCAGTTTACAAACAGATAAAGCAGCATGTTAAAGTACTCTATAGCTACGTGAAAGAGAAACTAGTTGTTTTGGAAATTAACCTCAATTCATTTGATTGACAATTGTGACAATGAAGAAGCGTGCAAAAATGAGGGGGATAAAAACGATATCTAAAACAAATCGTAGTTAGTATTTATCGCAATTATGCATCCCTGTCAGTCCAACCCGATTTCGCCTTCACACTATTGACATCGAGAGTTTCTCATTAACGCCTCACCACCCAACCCTCCAAAACGCACGTAGCAAGAGTGCTACCCAAATCCTACGCCTTGTTATGGGTCACGATGCAGTTCATTGGAAGAATAATAAAGGGGGCGAGCTATACTAAAATGCGCTACAGTAAAAAAGCTGGAAAATCCTTCAGCCTTTATTTCAAATTTCCTCTACACTAACGTAATCAGGTTCCCACCATTCCATCGTACTTACTAAAAGATCATCTACTAGAACATAAATAAACACCCTGCATGCTTAAAGTAATCAATAAAAATGAACGGTATCATACGCCTCAAGTCACTAATTCCCACTTCGACAAGCCAATTACATTGTCAAACAAATAAATTAATACATTCCAAACTGGGGCGTCCAATATTGTAATTCAGAACAAAGAACAAACCGCAAGCCCAAAGGCAAAGAGGTTAGATCAAATGCTTTAAGGTGACAAACCCACTTAGTGCTTGAGTGACTGAAGAAATATGAGTCTGAAAGCTTGGCATCAATTCGCGCAAATCCAAGATTTTTAATGGAGCCCACGTGACCAGTGCACATCCACCTCGGCCAAAACTAAAAAAGTAAAAAAAGAGTTTCCCTACGCTCTCCTTGTTGTCAAAAGTCCATATTATTAATTCACCACTCGAGGCCCCAGTGACGATTTCAGAAAACTTAGGCGAGAAGAGAACCTCAGATATCTCATGAAGTGGGCACTGCTTCGACCAGGATACGATGGGTACAACAACAGGACTGCACACTTTAAGCATGATGCAAACTTGTTCGAATATAGCTTCACCTAACTGAACAAATATTACAAATTAGCATCCTTGTTGGACTCAAACGCTGCTCCTTATGAACACCGCATTAAAATTATGAAGTGGAGGAGGGTGTTTAAAAACAATGTTTATTAGCATAAATCTTTGAAACGTTCCATGCACAATATTAAAGTAAAAAAACTTCCCATAAATAGTTAATTGCTTTAGAAGGCTAATATTACTTACAGCCTTCTTAATAATGCACAATATATTTTCAATAACGTTGGTGAAGCAAAATTTATGGCCCTAAAAAAAGTAATAACTTAGTGTTGACAACCTTTTACTAACCATACTTATCTTGTTTGATGATAGGAATTGTCCAATTTGGTTTGATATATTTATGAGGAGTTAAAATATGGGCTAATCAATCGCCATTTTTGTGTCGGAAACCGCCACAGTGTTTTATTTGCTATAAAAACATAAATCAGTAACATTTTCATTATCTTGCATGCAAAACCAATAGGTTATTGACTTGTTGCTGGAATGACTTTTCGTGTTTGTCATGCATAAGTGTGTTAGCGAAGTAGAATAAGGAGTCTTTTAGTTCCCAACCGTCTTTTTTTCTAGAAATTATGTTAATACATAAGTTGCTTTATAGAGTACGCAACATTTAACTAACCATTTGACAATTCTTCGTATCACTCCGCAAAACACTAATCTCTTATTTCAGCTTCTACAGTTAAAAGTCGACCATACTTAATCGTTATATTTCCATTCTCATTTTTTCGGACGCATAAAAATTTTGAGTCTGCGAATTTTATATCTTCCCTGCATTTGATTTGTGCATTCGTGGGAGTTTATTTTCGTCTCAGAATTTTCAGCTGCCATAATAATGATGGCTTGATCAAAGATATATTTAGTGCTCTCTTATGTCGTCTCTGCTGTCAAAATGAGGAAAAATTATACCGCAGATAGGTGAATAATAAAACTAAGGGCTTATAGCTGGATGGGTTGATAGCACGTTTGATTAAGCGAGCAGTGTATCTACACAGACTGCCATTCCGATATTCGGCATGCCCTTCAAGCAAAGCCAGTAGCCTCAGCTCTTTCACATGTCAGTGGTTTTATATTTACTATTACGCTCTGACGCCTGCAGACATCACAGACTATTTAAGGGCTTTAAAAGCACCTTCAGGTGGCCTAGGTGGTTACAGGGATGGCAAGCAGCCATTTAGAGAGTAGGGGTTGCAAACTACACGTATCAAAGGGCTTTTAAAATACACCTAACGCATAAACGTATAAAAGAAAGGCATCTTAACTTTTTACACAACATTTTTGCCCTTATAAGACTGGTGGACGGCCTTTAAATCTGCATGACATTAATGACGTCAAGAAATTCTTGCAACGAAGCAAATTAAAGATGTATTGTTAAAAGGTTTGTACTTAGACTGCATCACTTCAAAAAAGGTTTAATTTTCATTAAGTATTAAATTAATTGTAGCGCCTCTAGACTTCCCTAAAGGCGAATTTAAACATAAAACCAGGGCAGAAAACATGTACATTTAACGTCCAGAAGGGACAGGGTCTATTGGCATGGTTTGAATGCCAGCCCAGCCGATGAAGTTCAGTGGCCACGACACCACGAGGCCTTTACCATAATTGAGAACTAAACGACCAACCAGAGCATTATATAAGTCTCGGGCAGAATCTGCATAAATACACATTTGATCTATAGTAAAACCAAGGGGTGTTAGTGCAAAAAGGAGGTTAGCCCATCTAGCAGAGGCCTAATGACGGGGGCTTATAATGGCCCCGTACCAAAACTGTGAGCTAGGTAAATATTGTATAGCACAAGTGTAGCTCGTAGATTTGACCCCTAAATTAATTTACCTATGCCAAATCTTTAAAGTCATTTGTAATACGATAGTGGTTTATCCCTCGGTACTGGTGAGGCGCCATTTTTGTACTTTGAAGTAGCCCCCTTGTACCTCACTGGGTGGGCTGGCCTTTTGGGCCATGCCAATAGCCCAGACACCTTCTCCGTGCTGAATATATATACTCTGCCCGAGTGTTGTGTCTTCTTTCGTCTTCAGGGAGTCTCGGAACGCTGCACTGTTGGCAGCGGAAAGCGAACCCGATCTTAAAAGACATGCATCCTGGTTTTCCACTTCTGCGTGATGAGCCTTAGTGGATCGGAAGAAGTACATATGCTACGGATGGGAGAACGGTGATGACTCCCAACAGAAGGGTTGATGTTGACGTCTACCTTCGGCATCTCTCCCAGTTCCGTGTTCTGCAGAAAAGCTATTAACAACTGAAGCGACACTAGCCGTGAATCATCTGGAAGTTTGATTACGGATTTTCCCTACCGCCCCCCATGGACCTGTTTTAAATCCTGTACTTCCTTACTCAAATATGCTTCTAGGCCAGTGTTCCTGCATCTATCTATAGACACGCATGATGGCCGACGCAGTTCCCCGTCCTGAATCAAATCCCTAAGCCGGACGAAATCCCAGACCCAGTCAAGCTGCCAAGAGGGATCAGTGACGCTGAGGTCAAGTATCCCCTCAGTTGCGCGCTAATTTGGTGACTGGCACGGTCGACTCGTAGGTGTTTTCTTGCTGCACCGACTACGTTGTAATGGCTAACGCGGGAGGTTGACCCGCGGGAGCGCCGGGGACGGCGCTCAAAAGAGGAGGGAGGCTATGTAATAAGATAGTGGTTTATCCCTCGGCTCTGGTGAGGCGCCACTTTTGTACTTTGAATTAGCCCCATTGTACCTCGCTGGGTGGGCTGGCCTTTTGGGCCATGCCAATAGCCCAGACACCCTCTCCGTGCTGAATATATATATCCTGCCCGAGTATTGTGTCTTCTTTCGTCTTCAGGGAGTCTCAGGACGCTACACACTTTAATGCAGAATAACCTTGAAATTTACTTAATTATGTGTGATGAATCCCATTTTTTAGAGGACTTTTCTATAGTTGCCTCAATTTTTTTTAATTTATCAGGGCCTTCCTATGCAATCTTTGCAGAACAAAACTTAAAGTTTATTTTGTTGTAAATAAACTTTGCGGCTTTTACCAATCATTAACATGCAGTTCTTTTATCATTATTTTGCTGCAGATTCGTTTTAGCCCATAAAATTATTCGGGCCCAAGGTCATAGTTTGGTCACATACTTTACCAAAAAGGGCTTCGTCTGGACAGCGGGATTATTGTTTATATTCAGTGTGCTTTGGGTCGTACAAAGTGTGTTTGACTTGGATTTATCCATTGTCTTTTCTGAATGCACTAATCTAAATGGTCGATATGGATCCAATCCTAGAAGGATACGTCCAGTACCGCGACGGTAAAAAGGTAACCTTGTTTTAGGTTCTATTTCACTCTTTCTCTTTAGTGGAAGAGGCGTTACTGCGTCCTTTGTTCGCCTTCAAAAAGCCTTAGTAGGTTCTTTTCTGGTTTCGTGTTTTTGTACTTGCTAATTCTGTAATCCACCAGATTACCTATTTCGATCACTTCATTAAAAGTCCTCCTCGTCATTGCTTTGTACCTTGTAAATATCATCTCTTTTCATCTTTTAATTTCTCTAATAGACAGCTGTCATGGGGATAGGCGTGTCTAAGTTGTTGTAATCATGAATGCACTGCCATTGCTCCTATCCTTTATTTGGTGGCGAACTTCACAAATTTTCCCCCTTTTTGTTTCTTTTTACCGATCAATTTTATTAGCTTTTAAGTGTTTCAGTAAATTGCGGTTTCTCTAGTTGGATGACGGAAGCCGTTATCTATCATCCACTTTGTTTACGGGGATTACAAAATCTTCTCAGCTTTCAAGTCGGGCATGTTTTTAAGGCTTTTAGTCAATAACAACCTGCCATTATGCTATCCTGGAGTAGCGTATTTTACATTGACGTGAGGCATGATCTTTGCTCTGTTTCTGATGTGTATGTAACCGTTTTCCCTGTCTAAAGATGAAGCTCTTCGCTTAAATTTTAATGTCTGCGTAGTGCTTACTCTAGTCTCCCACTGATCACACCATTTGTACGTGATTTCGTTCCCTCACTTAGCAACCGTGTCACCCCACGTATAGCGTGCCATTTTGCGTACTTTCTCACCGCACCTTAACTACGGCGGTTGTGCGTTATCGTCATTCGCCGCACCGCTACTTTATTCCCTCCCACGTGACCAATGGAGTAGATGCTTGGAGGATGGTCCTCGGAATAGCCATTTTTCCCCTCCTCTCCTCTGGGAGATGTGACGGGTGGAAATGGGTATCTAGGAGGGGGCGAATAGCGGCCAGGCTGAATGACGGGTGGGGAATTGCGGCGCGTCACGTGACCGTACGGCGTAGCACGAGGCGACCGGTGCTAAACATGCATATGCGCACAACCGCTTTTGCCACGTGCGTGCGTGTGTATAGGCCCCCTCTTCTCTCTGCCTTTCATTGGTGCGTGCTTGCGTCGCGGTGCGCACGTGGCAGCGTTTACGTGCGTGCGCGCACCTGATCAGCTGATTCGAGTTGGTAATTGTCCCATTTATAGCCAAGAGGTAGCCCTCTACCCTCTCTTCTGCTTTCCATGCGATAAAAATATCTCCAAATGGGCTCCCTTCTAAGGCCCCTTTTTCAGAATAAACTGGTGACCCTATCATCACCTGCTTGGAGTTAGTAGTCACCTTAGTCGGAGCAGAACACCCCCATTCTTCTCTAAAGGTAGTGAGCAATATTATTAATGGTCTTGGACTTCTTTTTTCTTTTTTACCTGATTTTAAAATGGCCCTGACCTAATAGTCGTCTCCTCCTCGGGAATGCATTGTTGTAAAAGCGGGCACAGCCAAATATTACTTCCATTCCTTTATTGATAATGAGAGTAGTTTTTTTTACCCAAGGCAGTAATCCTCCTCCTTTGAAGCAAAAATTTGGATGGGAGTGGAATCGGATTTGGCCTTGTTTAACACTAAAGCACCTGCTCTATTCAGTCCCTTGCGGTTACCTTGTCAATGATTTGGCAGTAAGCAATGGGGAAAGGTGTCACGATGAGTCACCTGACCTTGGTGCTATCTTCCCATGATACTATGACATGTGCATGGCATTCATTTGTAAATCCCTTCGATTTCTTAATCATCTGTCTTGGGCAGACTCTACCTGTCCTCTCTGCTTTTCCCTCCCTATCTCTCCATAGGTTAAGGTCAACTGATAGATTGGATGTATTGATCGTGACCCTCTATGAAGCAGTGGATTAGAGCCAGTAGCCACCCTCTTCCTTGACCGAATGTCTCCCATCTTTCTGGTTAATTGGAGGGCCAATTCAGCAGCCTCTATATCCATTTTTTGTGTGTATATCAAAGGGGTCAAGGAAGCACAACGCATTACTTCGTTTTTTTGAAAGTGCCTGGCCTCAATTTCAGCTGATGGGCGTTAATTGTCACCTCCTTTTCTTAACCCTATCAGACCAGCGTAGCTAAGCGTGTGGAAAGAGGGTTCTTTTTCGAGGTGGCATTCCTTGAAAGTTAGCTATTTAGTGGTTTATGGTGGAGAAGAGTTGCTAACACTTGCTCTCTTAATGCCTCTGGCCCTAGCGCCTGCTCCCTTCTCCCAGGCAATCACATGACCCAATCAGGCAGTATCCCAATGGCCAGGCTGTGGCGGCGTGTGTGTGTTGCCATACCTACTGTAAAGTTACGCGTGCGAGAGCGTAAGCGCATGTGATTTAGTCATTTAAAACACACGTACAAGCCATACCATGTGACTAACAGTGCATGTGATCAAGGCTGGTGCCACTTCTGTTACTACTACCGCTGCTGCTGCTGCTGCAACTCATAGGCCATGCGTGTGTGTGACGCAGCATGCGTTCTGTTTACTCATAATCTGTGGTGAAGCATATCCTCCTTAAGCAATGCATGCGTATTACCTCCATTATTATCGCCTCTGTCATCATCCACTCTGAGTCAGTTTGTCATTAGTCATGAGGAGGTTGACACTATTTGTTCTCCACGTCACAGTTTTGCATCTTCACGCATTGTTGTGTGGTTTAATGTGTAAATGCGTAAGGACTTGGGTGTGAGTAAACAAGGTGGCGGCCCTGTGGGACTACAAATCGTGCTTCTGTTGGACATCCACCGTTCAAATTGCCTCGTGAAGGTGGGTGACCGGAGTGGATATTATTTAGCTGACGGTTATCCGCTGAAAGGTGTCAGTGTCATGGCGCTATCTGACCTCTAAAGCGAACTAACAAGACATGAAATTCCGGTCACATTTGTCGTTTGAAAAAACGGTAGATTGATCGTCTCGCGCTTTAGCCTTTGCGACGCTGAAATTTCTGCAGGTTTCCATCTGATACACTGCCCCAGGAGGGTAGAAGTCAAACCTCTCATTTGTGCATCTGGGATGATTTTGTCGGTTACCTTGAAGTCATTCTTCCCCCCTTAACCCAGTTGAAGATGTTCGATGGGGAAATCGTGCCGTACACTGACTTGTGAGTCAGTCGAGTGCGGAGCAGTTACCTTCTGTCCCGTCTCACCTATGCATTTTTACCCCACATCTACAGTTGTCCTTCTACTTTGCTGAAGCGAATCGTCACATCTTTGAGGTGGTAATTTATCACCCCACTTGTGCCATCTAGTGTTCTAGAGTTGTCTTGACTCGAATTTAGCGTTACGGGAGCACTGAAGCCAAATCTTTCATTAATTACTTCCAGGTGTCCTCCACCTCTACTTCGGCAAGTCTATCAACGACTTCAACGCCGCATTCCGCTCCTCGCAGGGCTCCATTGCCGCTTCCAGCTCCGCTTTGGGTCCTTCCACCAATACCGCCAACACAAATTCCACTTCCGGCAGCGGCAGCAAACCCACTGTCAGTGTATTCCACAGCCTCACCACCCGTTCCAATTACTACTGCAATCTTCCCCATCCCCAATCTCACGCCTACTATGTGGCTGATCCCGTCACAGAGATGTGCAACCAAGCCGAGCGCGCTATGGTGCACGATCTTGAGGCGGCTGCGGGTCGCGCTCGCAGTTTGGGCTGCCCGGTGCCTCTTGACACTGTGACGGGCTTTGAGACGGGTTGCCACCTCAGCGGCGAGTCCAATGTCGTGCTGTTGATTGGATGGAAAACCGTCCATCCCATCGCGCTGCCCAGTGTGGACGAAATGTTCAATTGGGCTGAAGTGTTGGAGCGCGCGCTTATTGGTGAGTGAGTGTGTGGGTGCTGTTCGTGTGTGTGCGTGCGGGTCTGTGATTGGCTGGCGGGGTGCCAGACGTGTGTGTCCACGCGTGCGTGCGCTTGCGTGCACGTTTCGCTGCGATGGCGGTGGCGGTATTGCTGATTGCAAATTTAGCGCTCGTGCGCGTGTGGGTGAGAAATTTTGGCCTTTGATGAAGGAAGGGCTTAAAAAAGGGCGTTCAAGTTTCTTACTAAATGTTAAGCGACGCCGGCTAATGTAAACGAATGTCGAAGTCGTTTAAGTGTGCCATTTATCATCCAGTCTTCTGGGTTGATGTCACTACTTAGTAGCTTAACCAGTCGTTACTTTTGCTTCACCTCTAGTTCTTAAATCGCTACCGAAGGAGTTATAAGGCACACGAATGTAATAGTCTGGGAGACTGGGTGACGTGAGGTGGGGTTCCAAGCTATGATTCATCATGGGTGGCTCCAAAAATGCCTTCCCCGTGGGATTGCCTTTGGATAAAACATCACTGCCTAGGTCTTCCGCTTAGTACGTAACTCATTTTTACCTCCATGAGGTTAGCATCATCTACTAGAGTGCAAATCCTCAAACCATCGGGATGGTCGCTTTTGAACACGCTCACACTTCACTCACACCCGAGGCTTCTGTTCTCCATTGGTGTCTGCACCCATTACTTTCCCTTCATGGACGAGTGCATCTTTTTCTCCTGGTTTTTAAGCGCCACCAATTGAACCAGACAAAAAACATCGACCAAATTCCGGTGTCATGTTGAGAAGAGCCAGATGTCTCAGCTGTTGCGACCGATTTTCCTCTGGTACCCCGTTAGCGAGTGTATTGGTGATTTCTTCAAAAAAGCTACGGTAGATGAAGTTTTGGACAATTTCCCTCGCCTACTGAAAGGTTATTGCACCTACTCATAGTGACAATGCTATTCCATAGAATACAGCGAAGCAGTTGGATAAAACATTTTCATTGCTTCACCTCGCATCAGTTTTGGCTGTACACGTACCCACACGTGACATCTCTCTCCGGCTTAATCAGTGGTAGGACGTGGGTGGACTCCAAGCGCTGACGTATCCACCCATAATACAAAGAGGATGGCGCACGCCCGCTTTTTGTCTTGTTATAATCGTCTTCGTCGCCTTTTATCCGTTTCCAGCTATTTTCGCCGTTCCGGCCTGGTACACATTGTAGCGGCGTGATCTTCTCACAATTGGTGCGTTTCAAGGTCACGGGTACAGCAGCAGTTTTGGCGTCTTTCCTGCTTCGTCTTGTTGCCAAAGTTCACTCATATACGCTTCAGACACATGAAAGAGTTAGAATGTGTGTTTGTGAGTTGGATTTCTTGTGCTCGTGCCCGATGGTAGGGTAATTACACACCCACGTGTTCGCGAACGTGCTATCCCCTCAAGGTCAGGGCGTGAATTGGGTACTTTTTTGGAATTGTATCACCACGATGGTGTCACGTGATCCAACTGACTGGCTGGCGGAAGGGGATAGAACTTCATAACCTCCGCCTACCTTTTTTGACCACTCCGTGGATTGGCTACTGCGATTTCATTACTCCCTCTCATTGGCTCATTCTAAACCATCTGTTTTTTTTTTGGGGGGGGGGGGGGGAATTCCGGTCCAATCATTGGGGTGCTTTCAAATTAGGCTTTATTGGGTAGTACTCACATTCAACTTTTCCATCGCACCAACTTTTAAGGCGTTCGAATCAGGCACGATGGGGGTAGCCTGACCCTTGGATCCTACAGACTGTAGCGGAGTTTTTCTGAAGAAGCACGTGTTAGTAATTTTCTCGATTCCGAGGCCTGACGGCCAAGGATTTTTTGCCCCATTGGAGGCAGCTGCTACCGTCAAGAGCTATTGCGCACAAGCAGTCAAATCAATGCTAGCTCACTTCTGTCCTGTGACGTGACTATCTCGTTTTGACGTTCATTACAGTGAAGACAGCATTCAGATAAAGGGGCTTTAATTAGATTCCTACGACATGTGATCTAACTTCAAATTAATAGTTTTACTGGATGTTTTTCCATCTCTCTGTCTCTCTCTCTGCCAAGTCTACAAATGTCTCGTACGAAACATGCTTGGGAGGGGTGAGAGATTGCGGGCTTTTCCAGAAATTGGTCCCCTCCAAGGTCACGGTGATTTGTTGTTACTAGTAGGTGGGTTGAGTTCTTCTGTTTCCACTCTAACCCAGATAGTGGATAGCATTCCCAAGGTCACGCCTCATCGGAGTGACAGTAATGGGAAGCAGCAATTTTTTTGCTGGTCGTGGATACCGTCGTTCGATCTTTCCTTCTCAAGATCACGGCTTGGATACATAAATGGTACTGCCTTATCTTCAGAACCATGATTAGTGATGGAATGCCAGAAGCATGGAGGCTGTAACGCGGCTGGCTGGATGTCTATCGCATGCTACGTGGAGCCCTTCTCTCTGTTCTTGGCCCTCTGAACTGTCTGGCACGAAGGTGGTAGACGATGTGGATTTCATCCATTTCGTTCTTCCTCCTTTCCACTTATCCCCACCGATTTGTCCACCCATGCATTTGTCTCGGATCCACCTGTTCATTGCTCGCATTAGCGTAAGTGGAGTTTTTCATGCTCATAGCTGATAGTCATGTGACAGACCTGCTAAAGCGGGCAAGGCTGGCGGTTGTTGTAGCAGTCGCAGTGGTCAAGGCAAGAGGTGACTAATTCATTGCCCATTTACCCTCCCATCCGCCTGCCCTTCTGGCTAAAGTGGCCGATTGGCTGGGTTAGCTGGTTTGCCAGCAGCCTCTTGCCTAGCGGGCGTTCGTCTCTGTGGGGGCGTGAATTTGCCTTCAGATGGGCGAATGAGGAGAGATGAAGTGGCCCGTGTTCAAAACACCTTTTCTTCGTCAGTTTAACCTTGAACAGTTCCCATCTCTGTCACTACTGTTGTGAGGAATCTCTGACTTTGTCCCGCTGTGCGGGTTTGTGTGTATGAGGGTGTGGGATTTCAGATTGTGTTCAAGCCAAACAAGAGTCACCTTCCTTCTACACCACAATTGCCTAAAAGACAAAGGAGAACGCTGTCACCTAGGCACACTCTCCCATTTTCCCTCGCGGGAAAGTGTGGATTGTGTGCGTTCCTATCACGTGATCTCACCTGCTTTGCCGCGTAAATTCATTTTTGTTCGTGTTTCGTGTGTGTCTGAGGCTATTTAGCGAGTCATGTGCTTATTCCCTCTTGCTTGTGGTTTTCCACCACCGTTGTGTGCATAAAAAGTTGATGCTAGAAAGAAGGCATCTGTTTATTCTTTTCCTTCGTTGGAAAAGGTTGAACGGCTCTTCCAATCTCCCTTTTCCACCGCTTACAGACTCTAGCTACCACGTCACATTGTGTCGCGTCGGTAGTGCCAGTGACAACACCTCAGCAAGCAGTTGCGTGCTTGGTGTGGGAGGCAGTAGCTACGGCATTGTCGGTGGTAGCGGAGGTCTTGGTGGTGGTAGCGGGGCAGCTGCCTCCGTGTCGGCTTCCTCTTCTACCACTTCTGGCATCATTCCTACCTCCACCGTCGTTGTTGGCGGTGGTAACGTTACCTCCTCTGTCTCCTCCTCTTCCTCCTCCTCCCGTCTACAACTTGGCCTTCAAGCCAGTCTCCACGTCCAACAATGGCGTCTTTGTCTTATCGGTGAGCCCTCTGCGGGATGTCAATTCATTGCGCAATGGCGGCTTGATGCGCTGGACGCCGCCTATACCATGGAAAATAGCAGCAACAGTGGCGCCTTTTCCACCTTTGGTGGATCCGCTTATGACCCCGTGGGGGGGCAAACTTTCCTAGGCTTCACCCCGCCCGGTGCTCAAGGTGTCTTCTCGACATCCAGTGCCTCCTATCAGAACGATGATAGATTCTTTTTGGAGGCCAATCGTGCTGCTGGCAAAGGTGAGTTGGTGTGGCTCCGATTTCAGCAGCATCTGCGCTACAGTAAGGATATTTTGGTCTGATGGAAGTGCTTGTTTTGCAGGTCTGACAGGCAGCTACGTCTTCCAAGTGGATGGCCGACGACTGGGACAGCTGGCGCGCGCGATAGATGAATTGATGCTGCGTCGCTTTCCTGCGCTCACTGCGCCACCGGGCACTCGGGTCCTTCCCTCCACTAACACCGATGATGATTCATTGCACCTACGCAAGTCCGCTGCGATCGAAATTCGCTCCAGCGGTGGGGCTGAAAAGCCGCTCTTCGGTGCCTCATCCTCCTCTCTCTCACCTCCTACTGGGGTAGGGGGTGGTGTAGGTGGCGGTGGTGGTGAAGGAGGTGGTATCTTCGGTTCCGCTTCACCCCATGGTGGCAGTGGTGGCTCCTTCGCACCTTCTAGTTTGCCGACAAGAGGTGCGGGTGTGTCTACTGTCACTGCTTCTGCCGCTGCAGTGGGGGAAATGCCGATGGTCTCACAGCCCTCTTCCTCATCGACGTCTTCTTCTAGATCGAAAAAATCGGGGCACCGGCAGTTTTTCGGTGGTGGTGTGTTCCAGCCTTATCCTCGGTCGATAAAAGATCTACTGAAATGAATAAGCAGAATTTTTTGTTTATCTATGGTAGCTCAAACACTGGGACGATCGGACGCGATTAAGATTCCCACGCGACGATTCACTACAGCACTTTCCAAAATGACTGGCGACGGCGGATTCTCTTCACGTGGACGGTCCTCCTCTAAAACAGGTTCCGGAGAAGGCAGCGCGGAGGGCAGTTCCTCTGATGCCTCCTCTGCGAAACCACAACCACCTCTCTACTTTCCTTCCGTCATGGTTGGTGCGGGGATCATCACTTCCCTTGTGCCCGCTCCACCTCCACCGTCACAGACCGCACGTTCCGAAGTGTTCGGCACATCTGTTGCACCCTCCGCCACGGCTACAACCTCACTTCGACCAAAACAAAAGTCAGAGCTTCCTCCATCGATGGTCGCCCCACCGCCCCCGCCACCACCTCCACCGCCACATTCAACACCCCCCTCTTCCCCATACTGTCTAGCCTGTGAGCGTTGTCAACGCCGCGAACGGAGAGGTCATCAGAAGACTTCTTCCGCTGATCCTGCTTCGATTTCCTCCGAAGATGGTGGCGTCGGAGTTGGCGGTGGCGGTAACGGTGGTGGCATATTTGCTGCTGATGAAGATGTAGAACAGCCATTGCCTTTACCAGTGGCAGAATGCCGGCGCTTACTCCCCCCCTACCGCGGGCTTTACAATCTTTGTAAGTTCTGTAATACTTAGATCACATTGCACTCAACGTTCTTTCAGCCCCTGTGTTTTTTTTGCAGACAAACAGCTCTACCGCACAGTGAAACCGTTCCACACGAACCGCAGGCTTCCGCGAAGTGGGTCCTTTGATATTTGCGCTGCACGAAGACGAAAATTGGTTCGAGGGAGGGTGTTTGAAGCTCTCGGAGGTGGCGAAGGCAGTGCTTTGGATCGTCTATTATTTAGCATTTCACCTCCACTCGGTGATATTACCTCCTGTGTCTTTCTTCTTGCCTTTTCTCCACCCTTTAAACCTCCTTCAACAGATGAGATGGATTATCGATGGTGCGTAGTTTTTCCCTACAGTTTTCTTCTTCCGTAGTGATGGAAATGATTGATACCTCTCCCTCTCTCCTCAGGTATCTGGTACACCGGCCAGGCAACTGTTGTTCTCGATGCTGTCTGTGGAATACACCAATCCTTCTGGCAGAGCTGAACCTCCAAGATGTGGTTGCTCATCAGATCTATATCCTTTCTTTGAAGGAGGGCCGGAAAACTGAGTCTTTACGCAGCATTCCCTGTGGTGCCATCCCTTGTCTGTCCACTTCGCGACTCTTTGTTTGGCGATTCGCTGGTGCTGCGCCTTTCGGCGAAATGGTGGGTGGGGGAGGAAAATTGTCTGCTTTGTACATGCCTTTTTACTTTGTTTTTTTAATTTTGGCCCGAAAGTAAACCGTCTCCGTTCACTGATACTAAGTAGTCGTTTCCCTTTCAGTCCCAATGCTCGTCTCACATTAAATCGAACCTTCTACGGCCTTGGTCGGTGCTCTACCTCGGTCCAGACAACGAAATCGATGACGGCACCCTTCCTGTCTCCCCAGCTATTCTCTCCTTCTCCTCCTCGTACTGTTGTTGTTGCTACTGTGGCTCTCCCCTTTCCCAACAGCGCCATAGGTCGCGAACACAACAACAGCCTCAACAGTCGCAATGTCAGCAGCAGCAACAGTCGAATTATCATGCCTATGCGAATTTGATTCGCAACACTGGCAGCAGCACCCTTCCTAGTGTTTCTCGACGCAATCATCACCACCGAACCGCCCCAATTGCCTTTCCTGGAAAACCCTCCGTCCCTTGTGACGTCCCGGATGGCCATAATCGTCGTGGAGTTTTCTCCGCCTCTTCCACGGTGAGTTAAAAGCAGACACCCTCTAAATAATTTGTTCCTGTTGGTCTACATGTTAAGTATCCTTCTTCATTTCAGTCATGTTCTACATCACAAGCCTCGTCGCCAAGTTCACCTCAGGGTCACGTTTCCTACTACAATCTCACGAGTGGTGTGGGTCCCGCTTGTCTCCCACCGAATCCTCTGAAGTACCCTTTCCACGAAGAGCGCCCGAGTGGAGCGTACGCCAATCTGCAACATCTTTATGCGTCACTTAATTTGCAACAAAATCGGTGGCGGATGCCGTGTAGCGTTCGCGCCCCCGCATCCGCTGCCGTTGCAGAGCAAATTCCGGATGAGATCCGTGAACCAAAACGAAATTACGCGTTGGTGGACCTTCGTCCCAGTCCGGCTAGTTCGGTGATTGCTCCTGGGGACACAATCACCTTTGTGTCTACTTCGGAAGATACGGTTTCGACCGCAACAGACGGTGGTGCTGCTGGTGGGGTTGGCGCCACTAGCGGCGGTGGTGGCAGTGGAAGTCGAACCGATTCCAGCGCTTCCACGCTGCATACAAACACTTCCACTTCCTCCTCAGCTGCGACCTTCGTTCCAGGAAACGGTGGAAATCGTTCACGAACTGCTTCTCAACTCCGGCGGACCTCATCGCATTCGCTGACCGCTGTGCTTCCGGTTCCAACATTGAATTACGTCCATATCATGACGAAGCGGGATGCGAAGGCAGCAGTAGCGGGTGCTGCAGGATGTGAGAGTCCCCTTTCCTCCTCCACTGCTACCTCTTCAACCACGAGTTCATCAGACAAGGAACAACGCGCTCCGGCAGCAGTACCGTTGAATATAACAACTCCGACGGCTCTAGCATCTTCCGCAGAGCAAATTCCCTATGCACAAATCGATTTTGAGCGCACCAGAGCCTTAAACGCGGTGAACGGGGCGGGAGAGGTGAACCATCCCCATGGACACCATTTCCACCGCTTCCGTCAGCACAAAGCAGCCACAAATGCCTTAGCTGTACCATTAAGCGGCGCCAAGCCATCGATAGTGAGCGGATGTGGTGGTCTACGAGGCTTGAGCACGCGAAAAAAGTCCGATGGATGGTGAGGGAGGGCGGGGGATCGGCGAGAGAGCACTGGCTTCAAAGACGTGATACCTCGGTGAAATTCGTGTATTTTTATTTTTCTTTTTGAGAGACCATGAACACACGTATTGAGAGCGAGAGAAGCGATTTCTTATTTATATATGTAACTGTGTGCGCCTGTGTGTATGTATATATGGAGAGATTGAAGTTCCTATTGCGATATGTAACCAATGAAAACGATTTTGTGGACTTAATTTTATCCTCCGGGTCAAGGTCAGGAGGAGGGATCGAGTGCATTGCGGCACCACGACCTTGGGTTGTGCCCTAAACTCACTTTCCCCTTCTCTACTACTTTACGCGATCGCGTCAAGTCCATATTTCGGCCTTGTATAAAACAGGAAGGAAATCATTCTCAAGGTGTCAATCATTACAGAAGGAGCTGCCAATGTCGTCTAAGGGGAGGACAGGAGGAGGGGAAAAGATTGGATGGTCAATAAATTCATCACAGATTGAAAGTCAGACAGGATTTGACAGCCGCGGACACTTTTTTCTTGGTCCACTTCGTGTCTAAAAAGCGAAGTAAACAAATGTCATAAGATGCGCAACGTTGTCACGTTCACTGGCTGTCACTTTGGTTTCCGGACAAGTCAGACGTTTCCTGGTGTCGAGAAGCTTGTTCAAATTAAGACAGCATTTTCGGTTCTATGAGCTTTCGTAAAGGAAGAAATGTCAGAGGATGGAATGTCACTTAGCTACGCGTCAGGAGTCAGTTGACACGACGATAGCGAATCAAGAGGGTGACAGTAGTGGCGAATGGGTACAGACAACGGTATGTAGTGATGGGTCTAGCCTATTACAGGTGAATGACTCTGCAGGGGACAGCAGTGGTAAAGCCCTTGGACACTGAACAGTAAAATAATAGTTCCATCAACGAGTGCCACAGGAGAAGATTCTTTTGTCTGCAGAGATGAAAACACCCAGTCTACGCGGAAAATGGTTCCCTTCAGCCCTAGTTTAAACTGATCGCTCTGGGTGGAACGTTGCGAGGGAGAAATCGGTCTCTGTACTTAGAATTAACCACTCAAAATTATTTCCTACCTGTGTTTTTTCAGTCTTCCATGTTCTCCTTCAGCATGCACCAGCGTTTCCAATTGTAAAGATTAGCGATTTGCCGACGATCCAGTTGGACCGCACGATTTAGGTCCTGCGCGACTATTTGAATTTGATGCCAGTTTTTGACAATTTCTTCCTTATTTCGATCAAAAGCGCTTTCGTTTCGACTTGTTCCAACCATTTCCATGCCAATGAATAGAACCGATCCACTGGGTTTTCCTCTTGACGATCGCAATGGCCACGCCCGTTGGCCGGTGTCTCGGACCTGGAGGTAGAGCGTACTTACAAATTGTCAGTAGCATTAGGGGTTCAGATGAGATTTTCGAATGGGGCAGGTGCAAAGAGGCGTTATCGTGACGCAACGTGTGTGATACAACCTGCCAAAGGTCAACTAATCGCCATTTAGGACTTTCCCTTGGATACCGCGCAATATGATCGGAGTGTGCAGGAAAATATTTCCGTGGCAAATGACTAGAACCAGTCAATCAATCGGAGGCATATGCTTTTCTAACTTACCGAATATGGAGCTCCACACCGGCCTCAAAATAGCCCATGAACTACGTCTCATTGTTATTCACCATATTTCCTCAAAGTTTTCCAAGTCCTATTCAATTACGATGGGGAGGAAATTCAAACGACACTATTCACCGACCTAATAACAACAACAGCCGGAGACCAGGACATTAATAAAAAAAAAGAGATGAGGCTGTGCATAACCTTGTGAGCTTTCAGTCAAATGCTTTACAGAGTCCAAAAAATCCCCACTAACTCTCAGTCCTTATTTACAATGAGATTCTCTCTTTACTAGGCAAGAACTACCTACAAAATAAAATCGCATCCTTTATGATAAAGGTCAACTTGGTGTTTTTGGCAATCATAAAGCAGCAATCTGAACAATTAAAAAGTGAACACTTGACAGTGTTTAGAATTCCTTTCTTCGAAATAATGTGGAAATATATATTAAAACTAAACAGTGCGGTAAAAAGGACTTATGATACCTTTGTGTATGCCAGGCGCAGCGTAGAAGATTTTTAAAAATTCTTAGGGAGCCTATTTTTTCAAAAATGGAAAATAGAAAGCAGAGAAATAGGTAAGGAAAGAAAAACCCTCATCAAGGAAGCACTTTCGGCGTGCAAAGCATTTTCTTCCCGAATTGACATTTCAAAAATTTTGTTGTCCCCAAATTTTGTCAAAAAACTAAAAGACAAAAGCTACCCCGATTCTTGATAGTAGATAGAATGGTCGAAAGATTTGTTAATTGCCGGAAGTTATTTCTCCCAAAGGATAAAACATCCTCCTGTGGATTCACTTTACAACACTCAGAGCAGAAACAAGGCTTGTCAAGCGCATTTTCAGTCAATGGTCTCATAGATTTGTGCTTTTTCTCACGATAAGTTGAGTAGGTAAAGGGCGATATAGGCGCCTTGAAGAGAGCTTTTTCTATAAGTTTCTTTCAAAAAAACCAAAAAAACCGTCACTTTTTGCATCATGTTTTAATAAAATACGCCAACAGAAGACTCAGAACATCTTTAATCCTCAGTTTTTATGCACCGAATGTAAGAAATAATTACAACGGTCAAAATAACCAAGATTTGTGGCAAACTTCAAGGTAATTGTTTAAACAAAATAAAAACAGTGAAAATCTCGGTGAAGACTGATTATTACAAAGTGGATCAGTCTCCCTGAAGAACGACCCCTCCTCACACGGACAATAAAGTGCATCAAATTGAATGCTTGGCCACGCTATTATAGGCAGAAAACTGGCTTTCTTAATGAATTTAAACTACCAACTTCTCAAGGTCAAAAGATTGAAAAAGTATCACCACCAAACAAAAGTCTTTAGTATCAGTTTTTTAACACATGCGATACACTTTGAATAACTTAAGTAGATTTTGTGACGACGTTTTGCATAAGTATATCTTTTATCGGAGGTTTTTATTAGGTGTCTAAAAAAAAACACCGACTTTTACAACACTTTTAGCCAACATTAAAAATTTTAAGGAAATTTGCGTTTTGGTGGAGTTAACGAGTTTGAAAACATAATAACTAGAAACGTTTGTCAGTAACTGTGGTCTAAATCCTGCCAATACTTTCCAGTGCAATTCATTGACACACTTCACCTTCAGTAGGGTTTTTTGCCATCACTTATTTTGGCTATAGGTGGGATCACTAGCACATTCACCACCAGAGTTTCACAGGAATATGGCGTACCAGAGGCTAAGCATTCCATTGGTCGTACGTGACCCGATTTGACAAAAAAGACGAACACCACCCAAGCAAAAATATCCATGTTCTAAATGCACTATACTACATTCTGCTGTTTATCGGTACCTTTTGAGCAAGTAAAAGCAACCTCACCGTCACAATCCACTTGCCATGGCAGCTCTCGCCCGTGTGAATCAGACTCTTCCAAATCATCTGACTGAGTCCATTGTAATGATCGCGGAATCGTACCATCAGTAGATTGGCTACCTGACCACTGGGGGAAGTGAGGAAGACTTCAATGGAGCCGCGATGCACCGAAGTCCATTGCATCCCCACCCGGACCATCTCCAGTACCTCCACCCCACAGGTGGGAGATTTAAAGTTGAAAGTGAATTTTATACTTCGACCAGAGAAGAGGGTTTTCCAACTAAAAATACAAAAAATGAGGGCCTCTACTAGTCAATATAAGGATG